AGAAACCAGTCCCTGGCATGGAGAAGGACCCAGAGGCCAGAGAGGTCAATGTTTAAAAGGCGTTAAAACTAGATGGGCTTCTCACCTCTTGAATCGGGAGATCTGATCCATTTCTGTGTCTTCTGACAAGTGAGCCAACTCCTGTTGCCTGCAGTAGTTTTCATTTTAATAATTAAAGAAATAATAACTGCTGGCTCTCTGTTCAGTCTAAGCATGGCTTGCTCAAGTCAGGCTGTGGTTTCTCAGTGCGTTCCGCCTGACAGCCCTCCCACAAGCCCTGTCTCTGATCCATAGTCCAATACCAGATGATGACAGAGACCTCTGACTCAGAGACTCTAGGGAACAGGTGGCTTAGTTCTGGACTTCATGACCAGGATGCAAATACCAGAGCCCTGACCTTGGATCAGGAGGCCAGCAAGATGCCCACTGTCACTGAGACGGGTGGACGGCTGCACTCTGGGAATTTGTGGAGCTACGTCTGGCCCAAGGGAGGGAGCCGGGCTTCCTCTGTGCTTTCCTCGGGGAGAGGTTTTGCCACACTGCACCCAGGGGCTCTGAGCTCTCCCCTCTTGGACGTCCCTGGATTCCTGCAGCCCATGAGGAGCTAACCACTCACACGGTTTCCCTCGGCTGTTCCCCGGTGCAGGCTGCGCAGGATCACAGGGGAAGTACACAGACCAGCCACCTGGACTATTGCAGCTCAGGCTCCTATCCCCATCTGCCATGTGACCGTCCCATCTCTCCTTGTCACTCAGCACTGCCAGGAGGAAAATCAAAGTGGAGGCCGACGGGGAGCACTGAGACCGCAGAGCAGGGCTTGATCAATGGTGAACCGCAGGGAGGTGTTACCACTGCGCCTCGCTCCCAGGGCAGAAATATATCCTGTGCTCCCCCAGGTGCGTTGGGGCCCACAGTCTTGCAACTTGTGGAGCTTCCTCCATAAACTAGTTCTTCTCGCCACTCCAGGGAGCCCTTTACTACCCCCATCATCACAGTTTGTGGGCAGGCCCAAAGCAAAGAGCACTTCAGCAGGCCAGAGTGGACCCCCAAGTGGCCCGCAGAGAGCCGTCCAGCAAGCGCTTCCACGGTGAAACAGCCAGGAACAGACCCCATTAGAGTGTGCGTGGCGGGGCCTCCCCGGCCTCCCCGGCCTCCCCGGGGCCTGCAAAATCAATGGCTGTTAAAAAGTGCTGGCTATTAAGGAGCGACGGGGGGACACGGGGCAGCATTTGTCATTGGTGTTCTGGGGCGTGCGGCTGTGATTAGGGGCTCGAGATGATCATCAGCGTCATCCTCTCTGAGAAGCACTCACGGGGAGAAACATAAATCCGCTTATCTCAAAGCTAGGTTTTAAGATCTGATTTTCACAAAGATCAACTGTTTTCAATAAAAGAAAGACTTCAGTATGTTTCCTGAAGATAATGGGGGATAAGCCCAAGCGGCCCTATATCCTGAGAGCAGTCTTGCAGGCGGGGCCCACTGTCAGCCCCCAGGCTGCTCTGACTAGTGCATTTGCCTATTAACATGGCTCGGGTTCTGCAGGTGACACTGTGTGAAAACAGGGTGTGTGCACAGAATCAAGGATGAGGTACATCCTGCCCCGTGGGCCTGTCCAGTCCCACTCTGTGGGATTACTCCTTGCCCCACTTTGGGTGAAATTCAAACCAAATGACTTTCGGCTCATTCTTGAGCAGTAAAAATCCATCCACTCGCTTTCAGTCATAAAAAAGGTTTTGGTTCAGCAGTTAAGTCTGAGGAGTCTGGGGACATCATCGGAACTCCTGACTCCGTTGAGAGTTCAGCTTTCCTCCTCCTTGCGGGGCCTGCCCAGGTCTGTCGAGGTCACTGCAGTGGGCAGCAGAATGGCTTAGCTCATTTTTAGTCCCCTCCTCCTCACCCTAAGCCACAGGATGGAGGCACAGGGGTAGGGATCCCAGGGCCCCGCCTGGCCAGTTCTGATGCTCCGTTGACACAGTTTTCAGGGTGGCAGTGCTGGGGAGCCCCCTCTCTGTCACAAAAGCTGCCCTGTGGCTTCTCCAGACCCCCCCCCCAACACTTATCCCAGTTCTCTGGACAGCAACCTGCCACCCCCAGACTTCACTCCACCTGTGGCCACCCATGGTGCCCTCTCCCCATCCCCTTCCCTGGGCTGCAGGTGGGAGAAGAGCTAAGGTGGACATGTCCACCCTTCAGAGGCCCCCTGGGCAGAGGCTCTGCCCTGGCCCAGTGTTGGCACTGGCTGAGCTCCCTGGGTGGAGCAGCCCGTTATGCACACGTGCCCTATGGGGAGTGAGATGGGCGAGGGTGGCAAGGTGGCCTGATCTATGTGACATCACTGAATGGCCTCACACCCGCTTTTTGCCTCTTCTCAAGGAAGGGACTATTGTGGGCAGGGAATGGCAGGACTCAGGACCGTTAAGTCCCTCGAGCAAAGAAAGGAGGCCGCCAGGTGGACACATGTGCATGGGGTGGCTCGGACCTGCGGGTGCTGAGGACAGGTGTCCCCTGGTGTAGCATGGGGCTTTGGGGATGTGCGCGTGTGTGCCCAGGAGGCAGCTCTCCGCGGTCTCTGCCTGACCCAGCCACGCTGGTCTCTTTGCCTTTGTTCCTTCGAATGGCGCTTGGGTTGCTGCAGCACTTTCCCTTGGAGTCATGTGGCGAAGGACCACTCCTAGCACCTGTCTGTGATGAGACCTTAGTGACTGCCGATCTGTTTCGTGGAGGAAGACAGGAATGAGGCTGGGGACAGAATTGCCCAGCGTGGACTCAGTGCCCCAGGGTCAAGGTCAAGTGCACCTGGACAAGGAGTGGGCTTTGGGGAGCAGCTCTGCAGATTTCTGGAAATCTTGCTGCAACCCGGTGGCTCTGCCTATTGTCCTGAGTGATGATAAAACCTTTCCACTGCTCTTGGACTTAGTTTCTTCACCCAGGCTTGGGCTTCCGCCCCCTTCCATGGAAACATGGAAAGGTGACAGTTCCTCCCAAGGACAATCTTTTCTTTTTTTGGCCTGGCAAGTGCTCTACCACTGCACCCCCAAGTCCAGTCTTGAAATGGGACCTTCTCTGGCATTGACAGGCCTGGGTGTCTCCTGTTGGTGGTCACGGCTGCCCTAGAGCCCTGTGTCAGCAGAGCTGGCCTCTGTGTGTTGGGAGACGTGCCAGCAGAGGCTCAGCCTGGATGAGTTGTAGTGCTGGATGCAGGGAGGCCATGGCACCGGGACTGTGCTCTGCTTACTCTCCACAGCTGGGGCTGAGGCTGCTGCTCCTTTAATAGCAAGAACCAGCCCTCTGCCATGGAGAGCCTGTAGGACAGCACACGCTTCAGGGTGACGGCTGTGGACAGGGCCTGCTGTGCCCATGGTGTCCTGTGGCCTCCCACCCATCCATTCCCAGCTGCGGTGAGGAGTCAAGGGCATGTGCTTCTGCCCGGTCTGGACGCAGGGCCGCCGGGTCAGAGCACAACCGCTGCCTGAGCACCTCTCAGAGAGGGCTTCCTGCCCCGTAGCTCTGGGAGGGATGCAGCTGGCCGCCCAGCTCTCCAGCAGCACCCTCCAGCTGCAGAGGCCCACTGTGGGCGTGGCTGCAGCCCCTGAGGCCTTGGGCTTCGTGGCCCCTGCACACCTGTGCACAGCAGGCAGCAGGGCCGTGGGGTAGGCAGCTGGCCAGTGGGAAGCCTGGAAGGCGAGGGAGGATTTGGCCTCCAGCTCTGCAGCTGCTCCCCCTGCTCGCCCCCGCTCCATGCAGACGTGTGGCTCCAGGGAGGCCACTGGCACCAGTCCGTGTGCCTGTTTGCTTTTCTGTGCTGTGCGTGTGTGCGTATGTGTGTGCACATACTCTGTCCCCCGATGCTCTTCTGTGGAGTGCCCCCTCTGGGCTACAAGGCCGGGACTCCAGGCTAAGCAGTTTTCTGTCCCAAGTGGGCTGACCTTTGAGTCCAGGGACGCCTGCCAGGGCCCTCCATCTGGAATGTTCCTCCTGGCGATGTGGGCAGGTGGTGGGCTGGTTTTCCTTTTTAATCTTAGTCAGGCTCTTGATACGAAGTGTTGGCTGTCTGCACAATTTTGAGAGTAGGGTAGGAATTTGGGGAGGTGGAATTTTGCATTTTGTTTTGATACTTGGAACTCTTGGCTTCCCTCCCCACTTCCCTCACAGCAACCAGCTGGTTTTCACCGTGTGGTGCGTCCAGCTCATGGAAAGGCGTCAGTGCCCACCTGGTGATGAGCAAATGGAGCTCTCCTGTGCCCCTGTCTCATGATGGCTACGCTACCTGGAGGAGCCCCACCTCACGTTCTCCTGCCTCAGTGTGGGGCCTGGGTCCTCACCATCCTCAGCTCACATTGCCTGGCCACCCATGTGGTCAGCAGTGATTAGGATGGTCCTGGTGTCTGAGGCAGCTTTGAGGAAGCTCCTGGCTGCCCGGGACATGGGCACCTCTGGGAATTCAAGACAGCAGCCTGATTGGCCCACACGCCCTGGCATGGCACCTTTGCTCTGGGTCTACCGAGCCATGGGCAGTGGCAGCCATTTGCTGGGAGTGACCTCATGGCCTCCCCTTGCCTGCTGAATCACCAGAACAACTTCCCCTGTCCTCGATGGTTCCTGTGGGGACAAGCTGACTCTAGGGCCTCTGCATAGGACTTGCTCACCAAGCTTTCCAGTGGGAGGAAAGTGGGAGGCGGTGGATCCCGGTCAGCACCAGCAGAGACACGCACAGGAGAGGGCTGCCCGGGGGTGGGCCTGGGTGTCAAGGGTGCATGCCCAGCTGTGGCAGAAAGTGGCCAGCTGTGCAGGCCTGGCCTGTGATGCTCTGCACACGCGGGGTCAGGACAAGAGCCTCGTCACGGGGCACAGTGGGAACGCCAGGCCTGCACAACGGCCGGCAGACGGCAGCGTGTGTCCATAGACCTAAGCTTTCAAGGGCACCTTTTATCTTTGGTGGCTTGAATTTCAGAACCACAGTGGCAGTTGGAATGTTGATGACGGTTGCTTTGGTCCCACAGATAGAAGCAAAGAGCTCAGCCGAGCGCCCTGTCCCCCAGCCCTGATGCTGCACAGCGCAGAGAGCAAGAGCCCGGCCGGAGTCGAGGAGGACAAGGTGGGTCGGGCTGTGTGTGTGTGTGTGTGTGTGTGTGTGTGTGTGTCAGAGGCACCAAGCCCAGGGTCAGAGGTCAGGCCCAGGGTGCCCTCACACCCACCTGTTTCCCAGGAGGCACTTATGGACTGGTTCTGTGAGCAGCAGCTGATGCAGCCCAGCAGTTCAAGGGGAGCGTCTGGGAGGGGCCTCTGTCTCTCCAGCCGGGCTCCCGGCTCCTGGCAGCACCCTGCTGGGAGGGACTCGCTTCCTGCTCTCACCCTGTCCATTTCCGGAATGAAGGGGGGATGCGCGAGGTGGTCCGGCTGTGTCAAGACGGGCTGCTGCAGCCCGGGTGCTGGTCAGAGTGAGATTTTACCATCAGAGAAAAAAGAGAGCCCGAGGCACATGGACTGTTGTGAGATCATTCTGATTGTAGGTCTTTCTCCTTTCCTGCTTGCCAAGTGGCCCTTTAACGACTCACCAGGATGGTGCCTTTGGTGTGTTTAGGGCTCACAGTCACATGGCCTTTCCTCTGGATGACCTAAGGGACTCACTTTTGTCCCTGCATTTGAAAATACCAAATGGCACTTTGTCTTTCCTCATCTGTCGGACGTCCTGGAGCCTCCAGTCCAACTTAGTATCTCGTTCACCTTCTCTCTTGCTTTGTTTGTCAGTCTTCTGCCTCACAGCTGCCTGGGAGCTTTCCTTCCTCCAGGTCTCTTTGCCAGCTCCCTGTTGGCCCCAGCTGGGGCCGTAATCAACCTGTGCCCACCCCTGCTCACCGTCGTCAGTGTGGTTAAGGGGGGAACATTCACCACAGATGTGAGCGTGAGTTACGTGTTTGCCCCCAACCCGTGGCTCTTCTAGAAGGGACGAGCATTGGAGCCAGAATTCCATATTAATTACAAAGATGGCCTTGCTGGTGCCGCCCATAAATACCCGCTCTGTCTCCAGTTCCTCGAGTCTGACTCACTTTCATTACTTCAGTGCGGAACAGGAGTTTTATGCCATGATTAGCCATTTTTATCACCAACAGGAAATCATAACCAGCATGCGCCTCGTGGAGAAGACCTTGGTAATTAGTGAAGAGAATCCCAGCATCGCCCAATTTAAGTGTTCATCTCCAACACAAATTACACCCTTCCATATTTACTTGAGTAATTAGTGGAGGTGATCTAGTACTCAGAGACTCCTCGTTGAGTTCTATTGTTCAATTAACTTCATAATGAAAATCCTCTCCACTTTTCCTAATTGGATTAGTAATATAAACTCTGGTCTTCATATATATTTTTTGAGACAAGTGTTTCTGAATACTCCTTGTTAAGCTAATTATTTATCCTGACCTTATTTTCTCATAGGAAAAAAAGATATTTTCTACTACCACAAAGTTCTGAGGGAAAAAAAAAAAAAAACCCACAATGATCTTAAGGACGGTTGCCTAAGTTACAAACCATTTGTCCAGTGCACTTATAATCACGATGAAGCCGAGCGCAGAGGGACACCGGGAGGAGTGGGCCTGAGTGAGGCTCCTCTGGGTTCCCAGACCCCCCAGAGCCTGGCAGAGGTCCTGTGGCTGTGCATCCACCTCGGCCCTTCTTCTCCTGCCCTCGTGGTGGGTCTCCTGGACGGCTGTTCTTGCTAACGTAGTCAGCAACAGGTTTACCTCTGTGGGCATGTTTTGCTGTTGGCTCTCCCGACTCTTATGGGATCTTTTACTTGTTGTTGAAATGTAATACTTTGGTGCTTCTGTAGTTTAGATCTTCTTTCCTAGCAGCATGAGCACGGAGTCCATCTGGTTTTGTTGGCCAGGTGGTCGGCCGTCTCATCTGCACTCTCTCCCAAGTAGCCATGTCACTGCTGTCAGAAACATGGCTTCCAAATGTGAAGATGGTAACCAGTTTGTTAAAACTCAGCTCAGAACTGAAGTGTCGCTTGGCTGATGCAAGCAAGCTACCTGTTAAGCCTACAGAGAGGACACCACCCGGGTCACAGTAGGTCTAGATCAGAGGTCAAAGCTATGCAAATCTCTGGGGAGGCCAAAAGTTCCTCACCCCTAGAATGGACTTGACTCTGTGGTTGGTTTGTTAGTCAATCTGAAGCTGCAGGGGGCTTCTTTTTCCTTACTTCCTCCTTGTGCTTCTCAGCTCCAGTGGGAGACGGTGCAGTAGCTGTCTGAACAGAGAACTCACGTCTGGAGCTCCCACACAGAGAGGCACAGCGTCTGTGCCTTGGCACTACATTCCTGTTGCAGTTAGGACTGTCACATTTCCTTATTTCAAACAACCGTTTTCCTCTCCAGATTTTCCCAATCATAGTTGTATTTTTCTTTTTTAATTTTAGGAAGTAAATTTTCTTTGTCTTCCAGGTGGTGTAATGTTCAAACGTTCCTCGCTTTCCAAGTGGGGTCGAGAAAGAGTGAGGCTTTTCACACCTGGTGGGCCATCAGGACCCCTGGGGTCCCGCCCCAGCACACACCCCAGGGGCGGGTGTTGCCCAGGAGCCACCCAATGCTGCAAGGGCCCAGCTGTCATTTGAGAATGGGGGCTTGTTACTCTTCCTGCCATAGCAGACCTGAACTGCCAGGTCCATTGTGTCTAAGGTCCTAGTAGCTAGAGGTACTGCCACCTTGTAAGGCTTTTGGTGACTTGGTGACTCCAGACACTGGCACAGTCTCATTCCCAGAGATGAATCCTTTGGGATTTCTGTGCCACAGACGTTGGGGATTGGAAGCCTCCTCGGTCCTCTCTGCATGTCTCTGATTCTGGAACGGCATCTCAGGATAGTTAGGGGCACCTGTGCTGAGTTATTGTTTATGGTCAACTGTGTTCTTAATTCTGTCCTTGGTGCCACTGCCCAGCCCTGATTTTCTGCTCTAGCTGCACTGAGAAGGTCATTATCCAGTGGCTACTGAGGGCAGACTCTCTGCAGGAGATGTTGTAGTTCTTCACTTGGATGCTGAACCTGCGGGTGAGTGTTTACAATTACAGACAGTGCTCTCTCCTTCTCTTTCTGTTGAAGGAGCCTCCATCCATGCTGGAGAGTGGGGAGGACAGCACCCCAAAAGGCAACAGACCTGTGGCCTCCACCCCGGTGCCTGGATCCCCCTGGTAAGATGCCCCAAAACCCCAGAGCAATGAGAAATACTATCCTGTCGCCCTGGCTTTGGTTGGTGCAGCCAAAGAGAAAAAAGAGCCTCCCAGGTATATTGTGTTTTAATATATGAATCTGCAACTCATGGCAGGTATAATCTACGCCATTGTCACATCCTGCAGAAAGAAAAACGGCACTTAAGTGATAAGTTCTCCTGCTCTGATGTGTTTGTGAATGTGTATAAAACAGTAATGCTGCTGCATATAGATCAGGGGGAGACAGCAGCCTGACGTGGGTGCAGCTTGCTGAAGCTGCAGAGGGTCTTCTCCCCTCGCCTCCAAGAAAAGGAACACGAGCCGCTGTTAATTAAAGATGCACCAGGCTCCCTCCATGGCCTGTGAGGATTCCTGATCTTTGAGTGTGCTATACTCAAAAATACCCTCCACCAGGGAGCCACAGTCTTTGGTTTTTAAAAGTGCCCTTTTGTAATGGAGTAATTTGGAACCAGGATAAAAAGGTTATTATAGAAAAATTCAAGTTTTAAAACCTGAAGATTAGAGCGTAGCGCACAGCTGAGAGGAACAGATCAGGGAGAGACCAGACATGGCCCCAGCCTGTGTCAGTTTACCATGCCATCCAGGCTCAGAGAAGAGACCTGCTGGCCACCCGCGGGACTCCCCAACTCCGCACACTGGGTGGGAGTGCCCCTGTGACCAGCCTCTCTGCCTGTGGCTGTGCCAAGGTCACCCGCTGATGATGCAGACCCCGCCTGCCTGGAGAGTCCACACCCCCTCCTTGCTGGTGGCCGTGGTCAGGTCTGCAGCACGGTGGCCTTGGCTCTCTGCCCTCAGCAGAAACTGCCCTGTGCCAGGAGCACCCTGGGGAGCAGCTTCCCAAGACCCGGGTCCTCAGTGCCCTGGTGTCTGCAGTTCAATCTGAGTGTACCACAAGGAGTGTGGAGGTGGCCTCAGACCCACGGCTCAGGGCTCTGTCTCACAGGCCACTCACAGCAGATGCTGGCTACAAGTGGCCCCGGCAGGCCACCTACACTTCCATTCAGCTGACCACAGATTCAAGGGCTACCCCCACAACCCTCAGCTTTGATGAAGATTCTCTAGAGTGACTTGTAGCTCTCAGGAGAGTGACATGGTTACAATCACGGCTAACCACAGGGGACATGGGCAGCCAGGTGGAAGAGATGCACAGACAGGGACCTAAAGCTTGTGTCGCCGCCCTACGCACAGGCACCTCAACATGTGCACAGCCCAGGAGGACCCCCAGATCCCCAAATGGGTGGAGTGTCCTTAATAGGCATGATTTGAAAAGTCACTAACCAAGTGGCCACTCAGCCTCAGCCCCTCTGACTCCCCTGGGAGACTGGGGAGGGGCTTGATCCCAGGGCTGATCTCTGGACACCAGCCCCCAACCTGTACTCTCCAGGCCTTCAAGTTAGCAAAACTCAGGTGTGGTCAGGGGGGGCCTGTGGGGAGCTGTGAAGGACCCTCCTCTCCCTCGACAAGCCCGGCAGTCGTAGGAGCTTTGTGCCAGGGGCCTGGGGGAAGGACCGTGCACATGGACCGAGTGTATCCCATCACACACGACACACACGCCGTGTGGGATCTTGGATACCAAGCTCTGCCAATGTGAGCCTCAGGGGCAGGTGCACTGCAGCCCATCACACTGGGGGGGACAGCTTACTGACCCCCTCTGGACCTGTCACAGTTCTGGCAGAGCTCCCCTGGGGGATGGTAACTTCAGGAGTGACCTTGCACTCTGGGACATTCCAACAGTGAAAGCTGCAGTTTTACCTCATCTGTGGTGTGGTGCTACACTGTAGGATGCTAAGCAGGACCCCGGAAGTCAGCAGGGCCCCTGTTCTGGCCCAGCCCCCTCCTGGGGCCCTCAGTCTGTGAATCGTAGATCCCTGTGTGAGCCTTCTTGCCTTGGGTGGGGGTTACCTCGAGTGTCCCAGGATCATGACAGGAAGGCGCCCAGTTCTGTGTCAGCAGCTGTTTGGGGTCAGGAGTAGAGTGGGGGCTGGACACACTGGGAGGGAAGACCCTGACCCTGGGAAAGACTGCTGAGAGGGGAGCAACCAAGCACAAGTACCTCCAGTGGTGGAGTGAACAAGCACTTGGTGCTGGTACTGAGAACTCCCAGGTTAGCAGAGGGGCTGGGACAGGGCTGTGTGCCTGGGGTGCCCTGGAGGAAAGAGGAGGCCAGACCTGCAGACTGCTGGTCTTCTCACCGGTGATGTGTTCTCTCTGACCGGCGGTCCTGATGGAGAAAGGGACTCTCCAACAGAGCCCAGCCGGGCAGTGGACGTGTCCTCCTGCTCCGGGAGAAGAGCTAGACACCCACACGTGGCAGGAGGAGCTTCAGTCCGTGAGTGCACTGTGTGAATCAGAACCAGGCCACTTGCTGGGGCCTGGGCAGTGTCACAGAGGTGACCGTCAAGCTGCCAATGCTTCTCCAGGGCCCTTTGCTTGTTCCCTCTATCTCAGAAAGCCTGAACCCGAGCCTCTGGCTTTGCTGAGCAGCCCTTCAGCTAAAGGAAGAGCCCACCTTCCTGAGGCCAGATGCACTTCCCCTGCAAAGTGCAGGGGCCTTGATATGTGAGGTGAGGGGCAGCCAGAGCCCGGTTCTCCTGCTGTGGCACAGGTGTGTGGAAATGATAGCCCCATTCGTGTTGGCATGGCGTACGATGCCTCTTCCCCACGCCGCAATCTGCCACCAGGAGCAGAGCTCCTGCCACCAGGGCTGATGCTGTTTTGTCACTCTATATCGTCACTCAAACTCTCCGCTGTGAGTCTCTCCTGGGCTTGGCTGATGTGAGGCTTGACCCAGCCAGGTGCTGGGTGGGGCCTCTGAGGCACAGGGGGACAGGCAGGTGTGGTTCCATCACTGGCTTTCTTCCCTGCTGCCCATCTGGAAGAGCCCTGGCTGCAGAAGGCTGCCCTCGTCCTGAAGAGCAGGCTCCCAGGTGGCCCTTCGACAAGTAAGAGCACAGGAGGTCCCAGTGGGTGGCTGATAGCCCACCAGAACTGGGGAGGCATTGGGAAGGAGCAGGGCCCCCATCGACAGCTCCAGCCAGACACAGCTGCCCGTCACTGCCCAACTGAGAGCTCTTGGTCTTCATCTTGGACGGAAGCTCAGGCCAAGAATCTGACCTGTGTGGCTCCAAAGGTCTGGCCTGGCTGTCAGCAGGCTGCAGTCTGTCTGTCCACCCAGAGCTGCCCTCAGACGGTCACTGTGGCTGCTGGTGGGCAGGAAAATGTCTCATACCTGAGGATCAGGGTGAGGCGCCCCATGTGAGTGGGCAGAAGGATAGGGGGAGGGACAGGTCTCTGGAAGTGGAGCTCCAGGACACCAGGGAGTCCCTGGAGTACTGTCCGGTGGCAGGTAGCAGGACGGGCTGGCAGGAGCTCTGACTAGCCTCTTGCATCTCAGGGGAATCTTGCTTGGGTTCGTCCATGGTGGGGGATGCCCTCTCGAAGGCTCTCCATGCCAGTCAAGTGCCAGCTGGCTCAGCAGGCCAGGGAGAGGGTCCAGGCAGCCCCCTCAGGTCAGATCCCAGGAGGAGACTGGCAGCAGAGCTTCCCATTCAATCTCCCACCAAACGCTCCTGAGGAGGCCTTGGCTCCTGAAGTTCCACGTGAGCAGGGCTGGTGTGGCTCAGAGAGGACCGTCCTCAGCTCAGAGCTGTCCAGACACCATTGCAGTCACAGGAGGTGAGAAGACTTGGAACCCATGACAGAGAACACGCAGTGGCTCTCATTCTGGGCTGACATCACGGTGGCTGAGAAACGGAATGCTTCAGAGGACACCAGGTCAGCCGGGCGCTAAGCCTCAGGCGTGTTTGTGGGGAAGGAAAGCACTTTTGAGGGAAATGCCACCCAGTGCCTTTTCTGTTTTCATCCAGCCTGTGGAAAACACCCTAGAAGGTGATGAGGTGGTAAAACTTGGTGACAAGTGGTGTGAGGAGAAGGGGCATTTGTCCTCCTTCTCCCATGGTGGCTCTGTCTGTGCCAGAGAGCCACCTGAGGAGGCTATGGAGAGCCACCCATGGAGGGTCACAGCAAGTGGTCTGCGCCTTACTCATTCCTCCTGTGTGGGACTCCCTCTGACATCCCAGCTGCAGGAGAGCTGGCCAGATGCACAGGCTCCCTGGACATATTATGTAATGCTGAGCCCTGGAGAAAAGCACATCAGTGCCTGTCGGTGAATCACGATGGAGCGAGAGCCGTCTACTCACTCTCCCCTTGCCGCCTGTGCCAGTTAACCATTAGAAATGGTTTCAGGGTCCAGAATAACTTCCTCAGCCAGCTCCGCAATTCAGAAAGGCATTTAGCCTAACACTGTTGGATGGTTCCCAGGGAGAGGCAGGAAGTGCAGGGTGCCCCGCCCCCACCTTCTGTGCAGAGTGGCCAAGAGACCCTAAGGAGAAGGCTGAGATTCTGGAGTGGAATTTGAATGACTTTTTCAGATCTGCTCTGTCTTTAGGTATGTCCATAGCAGAATAGCACTGTTTCAATCTCTTAGGAGATTTCTATTTCTCTCCTCCTGCTCCTCCTCCTCCTCCTCTTTATAATTTGGAATTTGCTCCCAATGGTAATTTTGAAGGAATTAAACCACTCTTTCATTGGAGGTAATTAAAATGTTTTTCTTGGTGGTGTTGATGTCACAGGGAGGTTGCAGAGGTAATTGTTAAACAAGTGTAAAATCCATGAGCTTTGGGCTTAAATGACAATAAATGTCAGCAAGGATGATTAAATAGCACCTTAAAAATTATCTTAAAAATTATGGATGTACAAATAATTAGCTGGTCTCATGAAACTGAAAATATATATTGAGCTTTGGTTTTAGCATCATAGCCTTTTCTGAAAAATTCGAATTGTAGTGCTCAGTTAGTCTGATCTATTAATAGCACAGCATAGAGTATTTTTTAAAGTGGAGAGGGCCAGTGCGCTCCCAGGACCAGCAGGCCCCTCCGCGGCCATGGGGAAGGTGGTGTCTG